GAGCGTTATAATGAGACGGTGAATCCCACCATTTGTTGATAAAAGAGTAGCCCAAGAGGTGGCGGTGGGTGGTGATGACTAGCTTCCTTCCCTCTAGTCTTACACTGCTAAATTAGGGACGGCTAGCGCAGATAGCCCTCGTATTGCTTTGCGCGAAATCCATAACAAACCTAACCCTGTAAAAAAAATCAATAGATTATGAGAAAATTAAGCAAACAGCATTCAGACTATTTCGGAACGAGTAGTTTGCTATATAGTGTAATTTGTGCGTAATTTCGAACGTATACCACCATGGTGAAGTTTCAACGAAATTTCTAAGAATACAGAGAGGGTCGAAAATTCCTCAGGGAATTTCGTAACCACCAAATATAGTTTACACTTTATTATCTTAACCACCAAATATAGTTTACACTTTATTATCTTAACCACAGATCTCCATTTATGTTTCTCACCCCCTTTTTTTTTTCTGATACAGAACTGATAACATTTAAAACAAACAAGGAAAAGTTACCCGAAAGCTGTTCCCACAAAATTGTTTATCATAACAGGTTTACTCCTTCTAAGAAGATGTAATTCTGGGAAGAAGAAAAAAAGACTAGCCATTGCTGACCTGCAACGTTTTCTTCAGCGAATATTGCTTGAACTTTTAAACACAAGAACCGGGATTTATTTACATGTTAATATGACTGCAATAAAGACTTATTAATCAAGTCGTTAATGTCAATACTACATTTAAGATGTAGTGGAAACCATAGTATTGCGAAGTTAGTTTACTTTTTTCTGTATCTTAAAGGATGAGAAATAAAAATATGGAATATTTGACAAAAACTATGCCTATAAATTTTAACCAATTACTTACGCTTTAATAAACTTGAAAAACTCGAAGAAACTAAACAGGTTACTTATACTCAAACTGTAGAACAATTTCCAAAGCTATGCGAGCAAATTATCTTTTTTGTTATTTACAAACACGGAAAGTAAAACATTAAAATGTAGATTGAAATATACCACTTAGTCTATTAATAGCCTACTCTTAAGTCAGTATTTTGCAACCTTTTTGTTTCTTTACTTTAAATAATAATAAAAAGAAGCGGGAAATATATTATAACAAGCTTAACGAGTTCTGCGGGATAAAAATATCGCGGAAGAGAACATTGTCTAACCCTGTGTAACAAGCTAGCTCTTCGTCTTCTATTTATGACGTCATTGTTCAGAGCTCAATTCAAAGGGTGAATCCAGATGACACGGATAAGCCTGGGGGTTTGTGGCGCCATCTAACGTATGTCCTCGACCATAAAAAGTTTTGTTTTCCTTCAGTCTACCTCCGTAGTATTGCTCTGTCTTTGATTGAACAGGGTTTATAAAAGGAGCTCTGGAATACGAATTGTAATAATATTGATGTATTTATAGTATAATTAATATGATATTATAAGTTATTAACCTTTTCCCATTCAATACATTTGTATTTGGGATTCTGGCCTGAATTATTATGAATGCAAAGGACTATATGCAAATATAAAAAGAAATCAAGTTTGTATCCTTTCCTTACAGTTTCGTATCCTTGGTCGGCACAATTGTTACCTCTTAAACTTAGTATAAATATCCACTTTACGAAAGTTGTAGGACATTCAGTGAATACTTGAAATAAGTTTCAACAGGAAAACACCCAAAAGATTTGTGATCTCCGAGACTGAACTACACTCTTTGAGTCAACTCAAGTTACTCAAAACATTTCGTCATGAATTGTTTCCAAGTGACTATTATAACTGTCTTTTTTACTACCTGTTGCTTATGTGCAGCTTCCACGAATGACGTTGATCATTCCAAAAAATTGTCTACAGTTTCAGCTGTCCAGCCTAGGGCTTTCTTTTTTAATTCCATGTTAAAGATGTTTGAAGAAGCAGAATGGGATGTTATTTTTGTAAAAATGTTAAAAATTGCAATAAACTATTTTATGGATAAAGCGTTGACGAGGGTGTTCGGAACGTCTGGACGACAAGGATCCTTTTCTGTATCAAGTTGGCTGTTTCCTACTCCACTATTAACCAAGGTCGTCCGACAACGTCGAACGGCCACAACAAAGGGATTAAAAGACTTACCGACCGTTCAGAGGTCGCCAACTGACTCACATTTATTATGGCCTGACAAGGAAAACGAGTTCTCTCAACTTGAAGTTATATGTAGCTTTGGTCAATTACTGGCTCGCGTTCCTGTTTTAGAACAGCTTGCGAAAATTTTCATGTAAGTACTTTTATTTAGCGATTTCAGTGCATGAGTTCACATTCTTTGAGCATTTCATTTAAAGTTTACTAGTTTTAACTTAAGTAAAACAAAAAGTAGTTCTGAACGACATATTTGTAATTAATTGAGATTTATGATACTTCGATTGCATAGACGACTGTCGGGATCTTTGTGAAATTAATAGTTCGTATTATCTTAAGAAATAAATATCATCCACATACTAGAATCCGTATATTAGGTAACTTTAAAATGACCAGCTGGCGTGGCCTAGTGGTAAGCGTGGAGGTCGAAAGGTCCAAGGTTCGAACAAGCTTTGCAATTTCAGCTTTTATTCTGTTAAAAGAGCTCCTGACATAACCCTTATGCTGACTAGAAATGCTGGATGGTTGTCTCCGCTCTGATCAGTAGATCAAAATTAGTGATCTAGAGGTCTCTGATCTGACCGTTTAGACCGAGTACTCAAAAAACTCCAGTTCCTTCTAGCGTAAAAATGAATATGAACTTTCATCATATGTTTTTTTTTTGTACAAAAATGAAACTAATTTTGTCTTCTATATAAAGAACGTTTTTAACATCATAACTTCCAGAAACTCTATCAATTTCTCTCACACACAGTAAAAGAAAATACTTTTTTTCGTTAGCCTTGACAGGTGCTGTTAGCATTTATTGGTATATATATATCATAAATTTAAACATGGCAGACACCAAAATATTTTCGAACAGGGCAAATCTTTTTTTCCTGATCCAGAAATAAGATTGAATTAACAAAAACGTATAATGATGATTTGACTATTTTACTTAATATCTTAATTTATACTTGTTACGTTTTGAATGCACTTCATATTTTATCACCAAAAAACATGACATAAACGTATTCCTTTAGTAGAAGATAAAACCCAGATATTACCAAATCCTAAAAGCTTGAAGTGAAATGTACCGTTCTGGGCAACACGTTTCTACTTTCTTTCTTTGTTGAGTTTCGCGCTAAGCTACTCAAAGGATGTCTGCACTAGCCAGCCGTCTCGCTCTTTGATATATTTAGTAGTAATTTATTCGAAATGACCTACTGCACTAATCTAAATACAACAAAGACAAATTCTACAGGTTATATTTCACGTAGAAAATTACTGAAGATATATAGTTATACAGCTTCATTTATATTGTTTTAGTGTACGATAAAATTGTTTTAGTCTGATTTTTTTACTTATTTATTTACAGAGAAACAAAAGGAAGTAGAAATGAACGGAATGCCTTTGTTCGGGGAGCACAGAAAAAAGATTGCAAATTGCACTATCCCAAGTGTCAGACGTTTAAAAATTATAATATTTACAATATACAAGATGATTGTTTCTGATCAATGATATGTGTTATTAAAATTATTTTCTTAATTAATCTGTAATGTTTAATTTATAGTACAAAAGCAGACATAAGTTTCTATGGTTATTCCAAGCAAAAATCACTAAGACGTTAAAAACAAAAAAATATTTCCTGATGGCAATTTGATGCATAAGAACGTTTCGAAAATAGATCCTATTATACACTATCGTGGTGCACAGACTACTCAAAGCAACAAGTGTAGTGCAGTACAGTGTGAGTTATATTTCAAAATTTACATATTAACTTCTTGGCAACTTACGCAACAAAAGTCAAATTAAAGATATTTATTTTTTATGCGTACTTTATGTACTGTTAAATAGCAAACAGTCGCCATTTAGATACGTTATTATGCAGTGTTGGCAAAGGTAGCTCATAATATACATAAGGGAATGGCTTGCTTCGTAAATGTATGTGATTTTTGACTAATTCATTTTTATTATTATTTTGATGTGGTGAGCGCATAGGTTCATCCACTTACAAAGTTGTAAGTAACTGTGGTATTCACAGTTAATCTGAGTCCCCGACAAGTGTTTGATAGATTAATAGAGAGATAACAGTATGCCCACTCAGGAATTTATTAGAGTTTCTGAGAGAGATAATTTATCTGAGTTTTCCTTTTTAGATGTGGAATAAAAGAACTTGTTAAAAATGTAAAAACTATTTATTGCACAAGTAAAATAGAAAGCAGAAAACACGGTACGCGTAGCTTCATGGGTGAGCAGAGAATCTTTCCTTCACCAGTTGAGGTTTAGCTCTTAACCTTCCTCTCTCACAAAATCGACTGTCACTGAACTGAACACAGTGATCTCCCAGATCTTTCCTGTAGATCATGTTGTAGAGAACTGAACTAAAAAAGCTCGTTAGAATCTAGAATGTAAAATCGCTTTCTTTGTCTATTGGACTGCGTCACGTCGTGACCTTCATTCCTTGACAGCATTAGTCGGTTGTCCTTTTAACGTCATAGTCAGTCAGGAAAATATATTTCCGGATCTTCCTACAATACAGAAACATCATTGTGGGCAAAGAAGAGGTCAGTTAATAAAGAGATAAAGCCTTATTTTCCAATGTTAAACAAACCTCCTTCTAATGCCCTAAAGTGTTTTAGTCCTATGCACCCTTATAAGCCCAACATTCTTACTTTCACACTCGCTCAAAACAACTTTTACTCTATTTCTTGTCTTGCTTCCTTAACCTTTCCTTGTAATGTGCTATGTTGTTCTTGTAATAGAGTAATCTTCCTCTGACTTATCGTCAAGTATGATAATTATAAACAATAGAAAACTGATTGTTCGTATGTTTCGAAATATTTAGCAAAATCCCATCATAGTCGGCATTCTTGTAAGGAATGCAGCTATTTGAAATATTAATAATAGTTGGTTATAATATATACTGTCTTTAAACAAAGTTTGGGTATTATTTCAGTCTTAATATTGCAATTTGAAAGAATTAATTAAATAAAATTGACAGTTTTGTTGAAACTATAGGTGGGTGGAAAAGGAAACAAGCAAAAACTAGAAAATACCTGGAAGAAAAAAAAAAGCACAATTTTCATGTCAAATTTTGTTTGTAATTGAAAGAAGGGTTTATTTTACAATGATTTCTTTTTGAAATAAGTCAAATGTCATAACAATATTAAGGTTATGATAAGATTTTCTCTTCTAGTTACACTTTCAGGTATTTTAATCTCTTTGGTGCATTTCGTTTGTTTGGAATTAAGCACAAAGCTACACAATGGGCTATCTGTGCTCTGCCCACCACGGGTATCGAAACCCGGTTTCTAGCGTTGTAAGTCAGCAGACATACCACTGTGCCGCTACGAACCTAAAAGAATATATTTACATTACTAATGTTAATTCTCAATGGCAAATATATTTGGTTCATTCTCTTTCTTGTTTTAACCAATAGAAATACTTTACCTGTGCATTTTTCAAAGTCTTTAATTATAATTATTTATTTACTAAAGATTGTTTATCTAGATAGGAAATAAATTAACGCTTATTAAAATAGTTCATTTGTTTAGGCGCTTATGTTATCTGCGCTCTAACTACTACGGATTTTAGGGTTGTAACCCTATAAACTTACTGCTGACCTACTAGATAAATTAACTCGAATTCTTCGTGCACGGTTTGACCTGGCATATGAGTGAAAACGCAAATTTTATTTCATTTAAATTTAGAATAAGCATATCTTAAAGCAAAGACAGATTTCATATCATTAAAAAAAACTGTTACATAATTATATTTAATCAGTACTGCTAATCTTAGTAAAACGTAGCCACATATCGTCAATGGATCGAATGTCAGTTTTCAAGAAATCTAATGCGATATACAAAAAAATTCTGCAAATCTGTTGCCAAATGGTTTATGTTAAAACGTTTCAGACTAAACTATACTCTTAACCAAAGTAGTATGAATTTTCAGTAGAAGAGGAACACTAAGTATCGATAGACCGTTTCACCAGAACAAGAACAAAACGAGTCGAGACATCTTTGGTTATTTTTAATTTGAGAATGTGATAGTATCATTTGTGACTTGCGGTTGTCGGAAGGCTTTTTAAATATCCTTTTCACATCTTTCGCTATAAATACGTAGAGAGACGCAATTATTTTATGATGTTTTTCCACACATCTAATAGCCGAAATACGCTCCAACATTCTGATAATTTTTATTTTTACACTTCTCAGTTTTAATATATTATTCTCTAATGTATTTCAAAAATTGCAAGTAGAAAAAAAAATCTATTCTTCCGTTAAACTTTTCAAAATGCCATCCTTTAATTTGCACGTCACATAAGTTAGGCTTACATTTTTGTGAAAATAGCTATTATGATAAAACAGAACAGAATAACTGCATGACATACATGATTTATACTAATTTTGGAAGAGCCTATTATCGCATCTGGCTTTCAACATACTGTTGCGTCAGCGAGTCACATGACTACTGTGACGCAACGTTTCTAGAACTATCATGTACTTTAG